TATACCTTCCCAAAGCCAGAAACAATCCCTTTACCCCTCTCCCTCCCTCTCCCCCCCGCCTCCCATAGTAGCGTTCTGGGAGGTTGAGTCTCCACTCAACTCCAAGCCTTAAAGGCTTTTTATCCAGTAACGTTACAAACCCTCCCACTAATAATATCAGTACATCTAACAACATATTGAGAGGCTACGAGTGATCTTCGGGTTATTTCCCCTCCCCTCCCTCCCCGCCGGCAACTCATTTATTTCAGTTTTACCTTGAGTTTTATTATTAAGAGATTCTTTGAAGCCTTAACCGTTTAACAAAAATGCACAAGTTAATTAAGAAGACGAACAAAATAGTGTGAACTTATACTGCCACAGCAACTGTGAATACGATCCTAGCGCTTGTATGTGATTCTGCGTCTTGTCGGGATCCTGCTCCATTTCTGTGGCGTAGGTTGTCTGTTCCTTTTCCTTGTAGACTGTTGATCAGTGTCCATTTCAATGATGGGGTTGAGACCCACCGCCCGTAACAGGCTCTCTCCTTCTTCCACGTTGATCGCCTGGTGCATTGACCCATTTTTAAGGACTTAGAGAGCTCCTGTTGGTAGCCATTTGTATTTAATGCCCGCCTCGTTGAGGCGCAAAGTGATTTTTTTCAGAACCCGTCTGATCGCTAGGGCTTCAGGAGCCACATCCGGGAATATAGCAATGCTTGAACCTTTAAACTCCATTTTGGGAGCCTTCTTGGCTAGTGTAAGGATGCTATATCTCTGTGACACTTCGTCAAACTTGGCTAAAAAGTCCCTGGGACCCTTACGGTCTTTAGCTTACCTTGATTCATAGATCTTACATTCCAGGTTCCTATGTAGTATTGTTCTTTGCAGCATCGGACTTTCCTTTCACCATCAGACACATCCACAACTGAGCGTCCTTTCGGCTTTGGCCCAGCTGCTTCACTCTTTCTGGGGTTACTTGTACTTGCCCTCTGCTCTTCCTCAGTAGCATATTAGACACCTTCCGACCTGAGGGGTTCATCTTCCGGCGTCATATCTTTTAGCCTTTTGATACTGTCCATGGGGTTTTCTTGGCAAAAATACTGGAGTGGGTTGCCATTACCTTCTCCAGGATCACTCTTGGTCTGAGTTCTCTGCTGTGGCCTGTCCATCTTGGGTGGCCCTTCACGGCATAGCCCACAGCTTCATCGAACCACGCAAGCCCCCTCGCCATGACAAGGCAGTGATCCATGAGGGGGATGCAGTCTAGACACTGCCATAAAATCTGGCAATCAATCAAAATGAAAGTGGCTTGCCATGCAGAGGGGAATTTCTGTTCCAATGTGGGTTTGGTAAAACAGCGGAGCGAATGCTAGATGCAGAATGGGCCTTTGATTCTCTTTTATTGTAGACTAGCAGTAAAGCCCGTTGTGAAAGCAATACAACGGGATCTAGAAAGAGGCTCTGGGGGAGTGCTCTGGCTTTGGGCAAACAGTGTCAATTTGCTGTGGTGACCTCAGCAGGGTATAATGACAGAGTCCACTGTTTTCTCCAGAGGAACTGATCTCTGCTACCTGAAGAGCAGTTGTAATTGTGAGTAATCTGTAGCCCTCACCTGGAGATTGGCAACAATTGTTACCCAGGACAAAATGGCTGGTTTGGAGGGTGGAGTCTATGGCATTCTACCTGTCTGAGGTCCCACCCCTCTGCAAACCCCACCCTCTCCAGGCTCCACCCCTCAAATCCCCAGGAATTTGTCAGCATGTAGTTGGCAACCCCATCTCCTTCCCAGCTAGCCACCAACCTACCATTATCTGCCCCTTTGACTTCAGCTGACTTCTGCCCTCCCTTCTGCAGAACAGTTGTAATACTGAGTGCTCTCCAGCCCTCACCTGGAGATTGGCAACAATGGTTCCCTATGTGGGACTGACTGGTTTGGAGGGTGGAGTCTATGGCAGTGTACCTGTCTGAGGTCCCACCCCTCCTCAAACCTCACCCTCTTCAGGCTCCATCCCTCAAGTCTCCAGGAATTTCCCATCTGGAGTTGGCAACCCTATCAGGATTGGCCCCAATGTGTTTTCTCCCAAAGGCCAAAGTAGGTGACAGGACCAAGCTTAGTTGCCTACCAACAGGCACTGAGGGGAATGTAGGGTTGCCAGCTCTAAGGAGGGAAATACCTGGAGGTTTGGGGGGTGGATTCTGTAGAGGGCCGGGCAACGGAGGCATCGGCCTTCCGTCGCCCGCCTTGCCCCCCCAATC